CTAAAACCCCCTGCATGCCCGCTAACTCCTGCATGCCTGCTACACTCCCCCGTATGCCTGCTACACTCCCTGTATGCCTGCTACACTCCTGTAGACTGCTACACTCCCTGTATGCCTGCTACACCCCTGGCCTCACACTCCCCATGCCTGCTACACTCCCCGCATGTAGCAACACTCCCTGCTCCCCGCTACCTCCCGCATGTAGCACACTCCCTCAAGCCTGCTACACTCCCCGTATCCTGTACACTCCCGCAAACCCCTACACCCCCTGCATGCCTGCTACACTCCCTGCATGCCTGCACATCCCTCAAAGTCAGGGACACTTCCTGCATGCTTGCTACACTTCCGCATGCCTGCTACACTCCCTACATGCCCGCTACACCCCTCATGCCGCTAAAAACCCCCGCATGCCCCGAGTGTCAAGAAAAACAATTCCTGTCTCATCACTCATCAACAATCCCCAATAAAGTAAATGTCTTTCAATAATTTTATTTGCTGTTCATTGTTTTTTGTGTAGGGAAATGTAATTTTCATGAAAAAAAATTATTTTGGTTTTTAAAACTTTTTTGGGTGTTAGAATGGATTAAGGATTTCCCTTATTTCTTTTTTGGGGAAAATTAATTCGGGTAAAGGCTAAAACGGTTTTTAAACTGCTCTCTGGAAAGGTCAAAGGGGTTACCCGGGGTCCACTGTCCGTGCTAAATGAAAGGGCTACGTTTAAAGACATTTTCAGCACTCCCCAGCAATTTTTATTATTACCATCGACATACCCTTTTTTCACTTTGGGTTTTAAAAATTTTTAATGCCCACCCTTAGAAATGCCACAAGGAAAACCCAAAAATGTAAAAACTTGAAGAAAAACACCCGTAACCCCTTTACAGTGAAATTTTTTTGTACTTCCATTTTCCCCCTTTTTTTTCCTCTTCCCGTGCTGCTGCAATTTTATCTTTGGGGGGCACAAGTACAAATTTATAGCGAAATAGTAGTCTTGGAGATTTTCTTGATGCCAAGAGCATCACTAATCCCTTACGTGAACTTCTTCCATTCTTCCTCTTTCTACAATAAATACTCACCTCTCACCCTACATTAGGACTACAAATACTTGTAGGTAAGTCAAGTGTACTGTATGTGTATTTTACTTATTTCTAGTTCTATTTTTATCATACTAAAAATGTTATAAATAGTGCAAAGGTGACTTTAATATAATATCTAAGGATGGTTAACACAAACCTATTTCTAGTACAGTATGCTTGAAATATCAGTATGGGGTGGCTCCTTGTTTAACAACCCATTCACTTACCGACCTACTCTTAGGAACGTAATTCGGTCGTTGAGCAAGGAGACACTGTATAACATGGGAACAATACAGTTTAAATGAAAATGACTTACCACATCCAAATCAAATGCTGAGATTGATGGAGGGTCAGCAATGAATTCATAGTCAGGAGGAGGCTCCTTGGGTGCAGTTGCTTCAAGAACAGCAGATCGGAGCAACTCTTGTTGCTTCTGTTGCTGTGCCTGCGACACAGATTGCTGAGGTGTCCGCCCACCTGGTATGGTAGCAATGTCCTTCTCCCCTAGACACAATAAAAATTATTAGCTTCAACAGTCAGCAGTGCTATACTGTACAATTTTTTTTTTAACACATCGGCTGATTCCCACCAAGGCAGGGTGGCCCGAAATAAAAAAAACTTTCATCATTCACTCCATCACTATCTTGCCAGAGGGGTGCTTTACACTACAGTTATAAAACTGCAACATTAACACCCCTCCTACAGAGTGCAGACACTGTACTTCCCATCTCCAGGAATCGGGTCCAGCCTGCCGGCTTCCCTGAATCCCTTCATAAATGTTACTTTGCTCACACTCCAACAGCACGTCAAGTATTAAAAACCATTTGTCTCCATTCACTCCTATCAAATACACTCACGAATGTTTGCTGGAAGTCCAAGCCCCTCGCACACAAAACCTCCTTTACCCCCTCCCTCCAACCCTTCCTAGGCCGACCCCTACCCTGCCTTACCTCCAGTACAGACTTATACACTCTCAAAGTCATTCTGTTTCATTCCATTCTTTCTACATGTCCGAACCACCTCAACAACCCCTCCTCAGCCCACTGGATAATAGTTTTGGTAATCTCGCACCTTCTCCTAATTTCCAAACTACAAATTCTCTGCATTATATTCACACCACACATTGCCCTCAGATACGACATCTTCACTGCCTCCAGCCTCCTCCTTGCTGCAACATCCATCACCCATGCTTCACACCCATACAAGAGTGTAGGTACAACTATACTCTCATACATTCCCCTCTTTGCTTTCATGGACTAAGTTCTTTGTCTCCAAAGACTCCTAAGTGCACCACTCACCCTTTACCCCTCATCAATTCTATGATTCACCTCATCCTTCATAGACCCATCTGCTGACACAGCCACTCCTAAATATCTGAATACATTCACCTCCTCCATACTCTCTCCCTCCAATCTGATATCCAATCTTTCATCTTATCTTATCCTCATCACCTTACTCTTTCCTATATTCACTTTTAATTTTCTTCTTTTACATGCCCTACCAAAATCATCCACCAACCTCTTCAACTTCTCTTAAGAATCTCCCAAAAGCACAGTGTCATCAGCAAAAAGCAACTGTGACAACTCCCACTCTATGTTTGATTCTTTATGTTTTAACCCCACACCTCTTGCCAAGACCCTCGCATTCACTTCTCTTACAATCCCATCTATAAATATATTGAACAACCATGGTGACATCACACATCCTTGTCTAAGACCTACTTTTACTGGGAAATAATCTCCCTCTCTCCTACATACTCTAACCTGAGCCTCACTATCCTCGAAAAAACTCTTCACTGCTTTCAGTAACCTACCTCCTATCCCATACACCTGCAACATCTGCCACATTGCCCCCATCCACCCTGTCATACGCCTTTACCTAATCCATAAATGCCACAAAAACCTCTTTACACTTATCTAAATACTGTTCACCTATATGTTTCACTGCAAACACTTGGGTCTACACACCCCCTATCTTTCCTAAAGCCTCCTTGTTCATCTGCTATCCTACTCTCCATCCTACACTTAATTCTTTCAACAATAACTCTACATACACTTTAACAGGTATACTCAACAGACTTATTCCCCTATAATTTTTGCACTCTCTTTTATCCCTTTGCCTTTATACAAAGGAACTATGCATGCTCTCTGCCAATCCCTAGGTACCTTATCCTCTTCCATACATTTATTAAATAATAGCACCAACCACTCCAAAACTACAGTATATCCCCACCTGCTTTTAACATTTCTACTTTTATCCCATCAATCCCAGCTGCCTTACCCCCTTTCATTCTACCCACTGTCTCACGAACTCACCCCCCACCCACAACTGGCTCTTCCTCACTTCTACAAGATGTTATTCCTCCTTGCCCTATGCATGAAATCACAGCCTCCCTATCTTCATCAACATTTAACAATTCTTCAAAATATTCCCTCCATCTTCCCGATACCTCTAAATCTCCCATTAATAACTCTCCTCTCCTATTTTTAACTGTCAAATCCATTTATTTCATAGGCTTCCTCAACTTATTAATCTCACTCCAAAACTTTTTCTTATTTTCAACAAAACTTGTTGATAACATCTCACCCACTCTCTCATTTGCTCTCTTTTTACATTGCTTCACCAATCTCTCAACCACTCTTTTTCTCTCCATATACTCTTCCCTCCTTGCATCACTTCTACTTTGTAAAAACCTCTCATGAGCTAACTTTTTCTCCCTTTACTTCATCATTAAACCAATCCCTCTTCTTCCCTTCTGCATCCATTTTCCTGTAACCACAAACTTCTGCTGAACACTCTAACACTACATTCTTAAACCTACCCAATACATCTTCAACTCCATTGTCTATACTCTCACTAGCCCATCTATCCTCCAACAGCTGTTTATATCTTACCCTAACTGCCTCTGTTTTTAGTTTATAAACCATCACCTCTCTCTTACTTGCTGCTTCTATTTTCCTTGTATCCCATCTACCTTTTACTTTCACTGTAGCTACAACTAGAAAGTGGTCTGATATATCTGTGGTCCCTCTATAAACATATACATCCTGAAGTCTACTCAACAGCCTTTTATCTACCAATACATAGTCCAAGCACTGTTATTATGCCCTACATCATATCTTGTATACTTATCTTCATTTTCTTAAAATACATATTACCTATAACTAAACCCCTTTCTATACAAAGTTCAATCAAAGGGCTCCCATTATCATTTACACCTGGCACCCCAAACTTACCTACCACACCCCCTCTAAATGTTTCTCCTACTGTAGCATTTAGATCCCCTACCACAATTACTCTCTCACTTGGTTCAAAAGTTCTAATACATTCGCTTAACATCTCCCAAAATCTCTCTTTCCTCTACAGTCCTCTCTTCTCCAGGTGCATACACCCTTATTATGACCCATTTTTCACATCCGACCCTTATTTTAATCCAAGTAATCCTTCAATTTACACATTTATATTCCCTCTTCTTCCATAACTTGTCCTTCAACATTATTGCTACCCCTTCCTTAGCTCTAACTCTCTCAGATACTCCTGACTTAATCCCATTTATTTCTCCCCACTGAAACTCGCCTACCCCCTTCAGTTTTGTTTCGCTTAGGGCCAGTACATCCAACTTCTTTTCATTCACAACAACAGCAATCATCTCTTTCTTATCATCTGCACTACATCCACACACATTCAAGCATCCCAGTTTTATAAAGTTTTTCTTCTCATTTTTAGTAAATGTGTACAGAAGGAGCTACTAGCCCACTGTACATGTGTTAAGTTATACAGTACAGAACTGCTAAACCAGTTTGACTTTGGTAGGCTTTTCTTTTGTAAATGGAATTAAATGCACTCAAGATAAAGAATGTTCAATTTCTATACAATCAAGAAATCCTTAAAAAAAAAAAAAAAAAAAAAAAAAACCACTTGCCTGATTTTCCAGTTCGACAATCATTGACCTTATGCTGATAATAAGCATGATATGGGTCTCCTGGGTTGAGGAAGTTAAATTTAGGGTTGTTCTGCTCATGCTGACGGATTCGAGCCTCAAATTCTGGCCCATTACGTGCAACGAAGTTGGCAGTCTTGTCAACAATATCTGTTACTCAAGAGTTAAGGGATAACATTAAGACCATACTAAAACCATGAAAGCAAAATAAATGATGCAGACTTATAAAAAGAAACCTCAATACTACTGTATACTCTACTTTGAGAAATGGAGAACACTAAGCTCAAACTGAATGCATCATATAGAGTCCAGGAGACACAGAGGGTAAAAGGAAACATTTAAATGAAATCAGAGGAAATCACAAATACAGTGGACCCTCGCCTAACAAACGCTTCGTATAACGTTAAATCCTCCTAACGAAGCGTTTGAGCATAAAAATTTTGCCCTACCTAATGATAAAAAACTCACCCAACGTGATTCATCCGGGACCTGTCCACATGTAGCCTGAGCGCGCCTCAGCTGCCCTGTGGGTGCCAGTGTTTACAAGCCAGCCAGTGCGGTCGCATCTACGCATACATTCGGTACATTTCACATTATCGCAGTGCTTTTAGTGCTTGTAACTGCAAAATAAGTCACCATGGGCCCCAAGAAAGCTTCTAGTGCCAACCCTGTGGTAAAAAGGGTGAGAATTAGTATGGAAATGAAGAAAGAGATAACTGCAAAGTACGAAAGTGGAGTGCATGTCTCGGAGCTGGGCAGGTTGTATACCAAACCCCAATCAACCATTGCTACTATCTTGGCCAACAAAACGGCAATCAAGGAAGCTGTTCATGCAAAAGGTGCCACAACTGAGGAAACTGCTTCAGAGGAGGGGAGAGAGAAATTGAGGAAGTTGCCTTCTTCAACAATTATTGAAATGTGTACAATGTGGTCAAATGTGCAAACCTTTATGGAGGAAAATCACCCTGACACAGCTATTACAAGCCATGCTGGTGACTTTTACAATGACAATGTTGTGAACCACTTTAAGAAAATCTTTAAAGGAATGCGAGGTACAGAGCTCTGTGGACAGATTTTTGGTGCAACAGAGGTCCAGTGACTCAAGTTGTTCCCAGAGGCATTAAAAGAAGGGAAGTAACCCCGGAAAAGGACTTGCTACCTCAAGTCCTCATGGAATGGGATTCCCCTTCCAAATAATAACAACTTCCACCATCTCCCCTCCTCCCATCCCATCAATCATCACCATATCTTCAATAAAGGTAAGTGTCATGTATTCTTTATTTAGTACAGTAGTAATTGTGCATGTCTTCTTTTTGGGTCTATAAAAATGTATATTTCATGTGGTAAAATTTTTTTTTTCATACTTTGGGGAGTCAGGAATGGATTAATTTGATTTCCATTATTTCTTACGGGGAAAATTAATTCGGCTAACGATAATTTCGGGCTAATTATGAGCTCTCAGGAATGGATTAATATCATTAGATGAGGGTCCACTGTACTCTTTCTTGTATGAAAAATTCATGGTGAAACCATATCTAGTATAGGGTCCATTTTGTGCCTACATATTTAACCCTTTGACTGTCGCGGCCATATATATACGTCTTACGAGGTACCGTGTTTGACGTATATATACTCATAAATTCTAGTGGCTTCAAATCAAGCAGGAGAAAGCTGGTAGGCCCACATGTGAGAGAATGGGTCTGTGTGGTCAGTGTGCACCATATAAAAAAAATCCTGGAGCACGCAGTGCATAATGAGAAAAAAACAACTCTGACCGTTTTTTTTAATTAAAATGCCGACTTTGTGGTCTATTTTCGTATAGTATTTATGGTTGTATTCTCGTTTCCTTGGTCTCATTTGATAGAATGGAAAATATATTATAGAAATAGAGGTGATTTTGATTGATTTTACTATAAAAAGAACATAGAAATGGAGCTCAAAGTAGGGGAATTATTATTATTATAATCAAAAAGAAGCGCTAAGCCACAAGGGCTATACAGCGCTGCAGGGTAGGGAAGGAAGCGAGGGTATTGGATGGCAGAAGGGAGAAGGGATGATCAGCAGGTTACAGAAAACAGCAGGGCAGGGGATAGTACGGGGGTAGAGGGTAGCAAGAGATTGAAGTAGAAAGGGCTGAAGGTATCAGAATTTGTGAAGTAAGTCAGTTGTTGTCAAAAAGTCAATGAGAGAGTCCGGATGAAAGGTGGGTCCATCAGCGAGAAGGGAAGGTAAAGAGAGAGCAGCGGAGCGAAGACGACGACAGAGGTAAATTCTGTGTGCTCATTGATAAAGTGGGCAGTCCAAAAGAATGTGGCTGACTGATAATGGAGCCTGGCAATTCTCACAGAGAGGAGCAAGACGCCTCTCCATGAGATATCCATGAGTAAGACGAGTATGGCCAATGCGAAGACGGGAGAGAGTAGTCTCCCAACCTCGACACTGGTGATAAGAAGATGGCCAGTAACCTATACTCGGTTTAATAGACTGAAGTTTGTTGCCGAGCATAGTAGACCAACGTTGTTGCCAACGGGTGTGAAGGTGGGAAGATATTGCAGCAAAATAGTCCGTAAATGGAATACCTCTATAAGAAACTGGTAGGTCATGTACTGCTGACCGCGCAGCAGTGTCTGCCTGTTCATTGCCCTGTACGTCAACATGACCAGGGACCCAACAAAAAACAATATCTTTATGCTTGGTAAAGATGCGGCGTAGCCAAAGTTGGATACGGAGGACTAAGGGGTGAGGTGTATCAAATTTTTGTATAGCCTGTAAAGCACTAAGGGAGTCTGAGACAACCACAATGATGACACAGGCATAGATGCAATACGGATAAGTGCTGTAAGGATGGCATATAATTCAGCAGTAAAAATACTAGCCGAAGATAGTAAATGCCCTTGTACGACGCTGTCCGGAAACACTGCTGCGAATCCTACGCCGTCAGAAGACTTAGAGCCATCTGTGTACACAGCAATGGCATGAGAATGAGAGTGAAAGTGGTCAAGAAAAAGAGAGCGGGAAGCGACCGTAGACAGTTGGGCTTTCGAGCAAGGGAGGGAGAAAGAACAGACTCGAACAGCTGGAACTTCCCAGGGGGTAGGGAAAAGTGAGATGCTACATGTACATAGAAAGGTGGTAGTTGAAGAGAAGACAAGAGCGAATGAAGGCGAAGAGAGAAGGGACGGAGTAAACAGGAGCGGCGAACAAATAAAGAATGTCTACTAATATCCGTGACCATTCTATAAATGGAAGGATTGCGGAGATCATGAGAGCGTACATAGTAGCGAAGGCAATGGGCATCACGGCGATCGGATAAGGATGGAACGTTCGCTTCTGCATAGAGGCTCTCGACAGGGGAAGAGCGAAAAGCACCAAGGCATAAACGTAATCCTTGGTGATGAATGGGGTTAAGGCTAGAGAGAGTAGCAGGAGATGCCGCTGAATAGATCTGGTCACCATAATCAAGTTTCGATAAAATAAGGGTGGAATGTAGGCGAAGGAGGGTTCGACAATCAGCTCCCCATGAAAGATGAGCAAGGGTTTTAAGAAGGTTCAGCCGGCTGTGACAAGTTGCCTTCAGAGAGGTAATGTGAGGTTTCCAGGATAACCTACGATCAAAGAGGAGGCCCAGAAACTTGACTGTATCACGTTCAGGGATACGGGAGCCATAGAGGTACAAAGGATGATCGGAGATGACAGAGCGTCTAGTGAAAGTAATTTGGTGGGTTTTAGTGCTGGAAAATTTAAACCCACGTGTGGTGGCCCAATTGGAAACACGGTCGACTGCATGTTGGAGAGAAACTGTAAAAGGCACATTATACTGTTCTTCTCTGAGAGAAGAAAAGTCCAAGGGTGCTAACTCTCTGGCAGACTTTGAGGAAAGAAATGAGGGGCATAGATGGAGTCCCTGAGAAATACAGACCAGATGATTGCCAATTTCATTGGCAACATCTAGTGGGTTTGCTATATCAATACCGGCAACCCGCAGAACAGGAGCTGGGTCAGGAGAATATTTACCACTCAGTTTTCGTACTTTTTTCCAGACTGCACTCATAGAGGAAGCAGAGGTGATGGTGGAGACATAATCTCGCCAGCAAGTGCGTTTAGCGTCACGGATGACACGGCGAGCGATCGCACGCTTCTGTTTAAAATCAAGGAGTCTCTCTGTGGTTCTATTGTACCGGTACCTGCCCCATGCAGTGCGTTTCAAAAGTACTGCACGAGCACAAGCAGGAAACCACCAAGGCACGCATTTCTGAGAATGCCTGCCCGAAGTTTGGGGTATAGAATGAGAAGCTGCTGTGAAAACGGAGGACAAGAAGAGGTGTAAAAGCGCATCAATGGAGGACGAAGAAGGAACCTCTTTAAAAACAGTTAGGTGTGAGTAAAGGTTCCAATTTGCCCGATTAAATTGCCAGCGTGGGGTGCGAAGAGGTGGCGAATATGAAGGGGAAGTAAGAATGATTGGGAAATGATCACTGTCATGTAAGTCCGGGAGAACAGACCAAGTGAAGTCTAATGCGGCGGAGGAAGAGCAGACTGAGAGATCGATGCAAGAGAGAGTATGAGTCCGAGGATCAAAATGGGTGTAAGTACCTGTATTTAAAACATGGAGGGGATGGGTGGCAAGAAAAGCCTCTAACTGAATTCCACGGGAATCACAGTGAGACCTCCCCCAGAGGAAATGGTGGGCATTAAAATCACCAAGTAACAGAATCGGTGGCGGTAATGACGAAACAAGGAAGGCAATATCCGGAATAGATAATGCCCAAGAAGGAGAGAGATATAAAGAACAGAGCGTTTAAACCACCTATGTAAGTGGATACGGGCTGCTGTGTAATGCAGCGAAGTATGAACAAATAGCTGATGTACGGAATATCAGTGCGTAGAAGAGGGCACTTTCATTAAAGGTCCCATCAGGAAAGGATCTGAAGAATACAATAAATTTTTAGCCTGAGATGGAGAAATAACAGCAGAGTGTAATTTTGGTTCCTGTAAGCAAAACACCAACAGGGGAAAAACTGGGAGAGTAACATCTAAAGTTTCACCCCGATTACCTGAGGCCGCGTATATTCCACTGAAAAATAGGCCATGATTGGAAATTTGATAAAGATACTTGAAATCCGCAGGTAAGGGTTCCTACGGACTAGAGGGGTTAGAAAAGTCCACATGCGGAGGCAGGGGAAAAACCCGTTAAGCAGCGAAGGAACGGTGCGCTGTGAAGAAAAGGAGTTGCGCAGATGGAGCAGAGGAGAGAAGAAAGAGCGGGAAGGTGGATCAGTGCCCATTGATGGTTTGGTCGTGCAATATATTCAGAGATTGCTTCAAGTTTTTTCTGAATTCAAAGACGTCGTATGGGAGAAAATATTGGAAATGGTAGGGGGAGGATGAGTAAAGATTGGAACTGTATTGGATTGTACCAAGGTAGGGGGGGTACGAAAGGGTGGAGGGAACTGGAGAAGCGTGGCAGGGGACAGAAGAGGCAGGAACCTGGGAGGTGGCAGAAGGGGAAGAAACTTGGGAGGGAACAGGGGAGGAAGGTACAGTACGAGGAGGAGGGTGAACCTGTACACTTGTAACTGAGCCAGTGAAAGGGGGAGAAACCAGGGACAGAGACAGGGAAGGTAAAATGGGGGGTGGAAGATGGGTAGGAGGTGTTAACGGACCTTTTTTTGACTTTTGAGAAGTAGAGGGACGATTGGGGAGGAGGTGTCGTATGAGGTCTCGTCGATACTGAGGCTTGTGAGAGAGAACTCGAAAAAGCGAGATCAGACTGAGGCGTTGAAGTAGGGACGTCTGAGCCGGAGGACAGCAAAAGGATTAGATACAGGAGTGATATGGGAGTGGTAACCACAGAGGTGGGTGTAGAAGATGGGATACCAGAAGTGGGGGACGTTTTGAAACACGGGAATAAGAAACACGGGGGAGTCTCCCTTGGAGGCGGAGATGAGAAACTGCCAGGCATAAGGGAGACCTTCTGTCTCTTGAGGTAAGGATTTCCCGCTCGTTTAATAGACTTGACAACGGCGAGAGTACGAAGGGTGAGCCTCATGACATTTAAAGGGCAAAGGGGAGATCGATTGCAAGACGTATTAGAATGGTCATCGCACCACAGACTGGGGATTCGGCGATAGATCTGCAATATTTCGCTGGATGGCCAAATCGCTAGCAATTTCTACACTGTTGTGGTGTAGGGATCACCTTTCGAACTTGTAAACCGATGTCCTGTATATAAACTGAGGATGGGGGTTCTCGGATGTCAAAAGTTAAACGAGCCACATTGCTAGGGTATCGTCTCCGCCCGCGGGCAGGAAGAACGTAAGTGTCTACCTTGAGGATTGGGAGATCTTGGAGTTCCAGCTGTTCAAGAATGTCAGTGCCACATGTCTGGAAATTTTGTTGAACTATGGTTTTGGGGCAGAATGACGGTACCACTACAAGAATTGAGGGAATGATGTTTTTCAAGAGTGACAGGAACAGTATCGATATGGGAAAAAACGAGAGAGCTCATGAGCCTGGGTAGCATTCTGTACGGTAATGATGCGCGTACCGCTCTTAAGAGCATGAAAAGAAATATCTTTACCAACATGGCGTAGGAGTGCCTTGCCAATACTGTGGTCAGAAAGATAAAGGGAGTAGAGGAAGTCGGTCGTAAAGGGAAGAAATTTAGTCCCTTGTTCAGTCTGAAACTGAGCGTGGAAAGGTAGTGAAGGACGTGTCGATCGTTTCTGAGAAGAACGAGAAGGTGGAGAAGTATCATCAGCAAGTAATTGTCGTTGGCGTTTTAGGCGTTTGGGACCAGAGTTTGTCCGACGTGGAACGGGTCGGCGATTTGAAAATTGCCGACCGTAGAGGGGGGAGGGCCGGAAGCATAGTCAGAGGAGAGCGAAGGTCCGATAAATCAAAGGAGTCAGTCGAGGCCTCAGTACCTGAAGCGGGTGAGGAAACAGCACGGCAATAGGTACAGAGGCATGAGGATGTCTGAAGAGTGGTCCAAAGACGAGGCGGGGTCAGAACGGGGTGTGGTATCAAGAAGGGGCCCGGGGGGTAGTAGGTTCATGGACTAGGGCTGCCCTGGTTAGGTTTTCTTTTTCTTTTTGTTTTTAAGAAAAAAAAAAAGAAGAAAAGAAAATAAAAATAAAAAAAAAAGAATAAAAAAAGGGGGGACTGGGGAGGGATTTGTTCCAGGAGGAATGAAAGGGCCAGAAATCTCCCTCCGCGCCCAAGAGGAACCTCAGCACCGCAGTAGCGCAGATGCAGCATGGAACCCATGCCATACCCTACCATCATGCTAGTAAACTACCAACCGGGATAGCAACCTCACATCTGCCGAGCTACCTCGGTGGACAAAAGAGAGGGCGGGCCGGGTATCCGCCACAAAGCATACCTCCCTTTGGCCACCACCCCCGGAATCCGAAAGGTGGCTTCCAGAGATACACCCGTCGCCCGAAAGACACCCAAAAGCTACTCCGGGGATACCGGAGAGGGATCGGGACATCCCCAGGCGATCCAGATTCCACGGCAAACTACGCCACCGCCAAGAACCTCAACGGAATGGGATAGACCCCGGTATCCTTTCCCCTACCTAGGAACTAGCGCGCCTGTGGGAGCAATCCCAAAGGCCAAAAAGAGGAAGGGCAAAAGGGAGGGGTGGGGAGGAGGAGGAGGAGGAGGAGGAAAGGAAAAAGGGGAGGATGGGGAGGATGGGATAGGGGAGGGGAGATTGGGGGGTAATTAGGTTCGGTCTGAGGAAGAAGACCGACAGGTCTAATTCCTCAGACCAATAGCCTCTTCACCACGCCAAGGAGCCCCCCTTGAAGAGGTCAAAGTAGGGGAAATGTTTGATTTTTGCCAATGTTCAAAAGTAAACAAATGATGCCATTGTCCAATAAATGTCCAACTAGCCATTCTAATATGCCGTCATGAATGGGTTGATGTTATTTATACAATTATTACAGTATTGCAGTAGTCTGCATAATAATAAGTCTTCTATTTTTTGTTTGAATAAAAATTCAAAATAGAAAGCAAGAGTAATATCAGAGGGGCCTGGAGACATGACTGATGAGCAAAGAAAATGGTATTTTAGAGCCAGGAATGTCTGCATTGTTCATTCTGGACCTTATTTTGAAATTGTCATATTTTTTAGTTTTTGTGAAATTGGTCAAATTGCAAATTTCTGACCACATTATTAGGTAGTTGAAATCGGTAAATGGGCAGTTTCTTGTACTCAATCGATAGAAAAAATGGAGTTCTAAAGAAACAGCTATGAGCTTGGGCGACTGGAACAATGGAATTAGCCGAAAATAGGGCTCAAAGTGGGCGAAATCGCCGATTTGTAAACAGCGCCGAGGTCACTAACTTCGTGAGAGCATAATTCCGTCAGTTTTCCATCAAATTTCGTTTTTTTGGTGTCATTACAATCGGGAAAAGATTCTCAATCATTTCATAAGAATTTTTTTTTTTTTTTTTTTAAATTTTGCGACACCAGGAGACACCTCAGGATTGGGGGTTGCGACAGTCAAGGGTTAATGAGAATCTAATATGAAAGAGTATACAGTATTTTTTTGAGAGTACAGTGGACCCCCACGAATTCGTGGCTTCAGTAATTCGCAGATTTTTCCTTAGAACCTAACTAATAATTGTTCGTGGAAATCCCCACAAATTTGCGGATTTTTTTTTTTCATGGCAATATATGTTTTTTTGTTTTTAACGCTAAATATTAAGAAAAACATTATATAATAATTTTGTAACGTAAATATTAACGTAAATTCAGCAAAATTTCCACATAAAATATAATACTGTATAATTTTTTTAGTGCTGTAGTGAGAACACAAAGTGACTGTAGAGGAAAATGCAGCTTGGGATGGTGAAATGCCCCTGTACTCAGAGGTGTAAGGTTTGAAAGTAGCCAATCTAAGAGTGTTATTCGTTTCTCCTTGCTGTTGACTGGCTGTTGGCCTGTGACGTACATCCGGCAGATGAGGCATAGCATTTGAGCATCATAACTGTTTACTGCGTGTAGCTATCTCGAGTGTTTGTCCGACTGTTCTTGCATTTTTTGTTTTGTGCTTGTTTAAGGTCTAAGATACCGCCCAAACGCCCCACACCTTCTAAGGCTTCTGGCAATGAACCTAAGTGCCAGAAGTAGTTTAAGACACTCCAGGAGAAGGTCGAGCATCTGGATTTGTTCTGGGAAAAGAAAAGCTATGTCGCAGTAGCACGCCATGAGAGCTTTGTTTTGCTGTGCAGTCATTATCTTCATTACCTTCATCATATTTCATTGCTAATTCATCATCATCTTCAATCGTTATCACTATTATTGGTGAGTACCCATACATTTAATTTTACTTTTACTAAATTACAGTGGTCCCTCGATAATCGTAAGGCTCGATAGTCATAATTTTCTAAAATCGTAACGTTATTTTCGTCAAAACATTGGCTCGCTAATCGTAGTTTGACTCGCGAATAGTCATTCGTCTGGGACACGTACTCACGGCTCTGAGCCGTTCCCAGCCAGTGTGCCATTGTTTACCAGTGAGCGACGGTCCCCTCACTTGTTCATACAAAATATTTCATAATATTCCATTCATTTTAGTGCTTGCAACTACAGTGGACCCCCGCATACCGTACGCATCGCATACCATTCAATCCACATACCGCTCGCTTTTATCGCAAAAATTTTGCCTCGCATACCGCCCAAAAACCCGCTCACCGCTCTTCGTCTGAGACGCGTCCAATGTGCACCCTTAGCCAGCCTCACATGTGCTGCCGGTGGCATTGTTTACCAGCCA